GACCCATAGAGCTGAAGACGTCTGAAAACCAGCTTTAAGTGGATTTAGATGGGCGCAAAAGGTTGCACGCTTAAACTGGCTTGTCCGTGTCACTTACGCTAAGATATAGTGGCAAAAGTTCTTTGAAAGTATTTTAATATGTCTGTAATCAGACCTTTAAGTGACCGTCAGCCCATCTGAGTAGGTCGGGCGAAACAAATTCTTGGAAGTCATCGTCGATGGTTAGGTTTTGGCAATGACAAATTATATCGCTTGCCACATTGGCGGCAGAAATTCATGTAGTGAAAATTTTTTGAAATCTAGTTCCTTGGTTTTAAAATTTCAAACTGGGCGTCCAGACACGCCCATTTCTGCCGTCTTATCGTCAACATGTTTCATTATAGAGCTATCAGCGTCCTCAAGTTTGTTCTTGCAGTATTAAACAAGGGTACTCCACGGGTTTGCTACAAACGTATTATTTTTTAAATAAACTTTCTCAGTCATTAGTTTGATTTTTCGGATTTGCAAAATGTTTGCTTTGTGACAGGACCATCGTGAAACCTGAACGAGGGGCGGTTCCTCTCAAGCTTGGAAGTTTCGTAATTTAACAAAAAGTTCAAACAGAGCGCTTTCTTTAAAGATGCTAAAACAAACACGTAGCTGCAGTTTAGGACACTACCTTAAAGTCATTAATCGTTATAGTCCGCCTGTGGCTCTAACCACTACACTAAATCGCACCAATTTTCAAGGTTAAAATTTTAAATAAACTAGCGTTTTGCTGTCTGGCACCAGTTCCTACCCCTATCGTTTTTTAGAAATGTTGTTTTCTATGAGGTTGTTATTTATGCTATACTCCCCCTGGAAATTCCACCGAGACTATCTTTTTTAAACCTCTTTCTGACTAACTCCTCAAGCCGCTTCAATTTCGTTACTGAAGTCAACCATCGGATTTTATGCACTGCTCTCTATTTCTTCCCACGCTGATTGTAATACCTCTTCCGTATTGCCCTCTTTCCATATTATACAATAGGCGAGATCCTGCAAGCGTTGCTTTTTGTTACTATAGAGGAAAAATCCTGTTCTCATGGCTAGATTTGAGTCGAAAAATTAAAATTCTGTGTTCATCTTTGTTTGGTAACAGATAGGACACAATCTCCTTAACCATTTTTCGTTTTCAAGACTGCTTTTAGCATTGGTATTTGTTTATGTGGAGACGCGTTTAAATCGTTTGCTTCTGTGGTGCACCAGCTACTATAATCTATTTACATAGTGGTTTTGAAACATGCTTTAATATAACTTTAGTGTCTGAATTCCTTGCCTTTTATACAAGGTTTCTTTTAGCTCACTCATTCCAAAGTGCAGATGTCTCAAAAAATCCTTAATTTATAGGAATTTCGAGTAAATGGCAGTCGAACCACCGTGGCTCTCCGAATTGTTTGCGAAATTTCGCGAGCGTGATCTGAACCAGAGCCACGGCTATGACGTCGTCTTCAGTAATTGTAGGTCCAATATTCTCCTCCTCGTTCTAATTATTCTTGGATCCTTCCCCCCTCCGTAGATG